GAAGATATATTAATGTCTCATCCACAAACACATCCAATATTACCTTTTACAGAACAATGTCCTGTTTGTAATATCACTCTAAATAGTGATAATACTCGCACAAAAGAAGTTTCTATCTACACAGATTGTGGTCAAGTTCTACCAGGTGAGATTATAGATTTAAATATATGCATAGATTTAAAAAATGAAATATGTTGATTATATAAAAGATTAAACGGTGATCTGAAAGAGATTAGGTATTTCGTGTTATAATTAAATTAAACATTGATCTAATCACCTATATTATTGTATACATTGGCGAACGAGTATTGCTGAAGTAGACTATAGAAATAAAACAGATCTGTATTGACTTTGACGAAAATATTTCTTATATTAATATTAAAATAACTGTTGTTTTTGTAATATTAAATTCCATATACTTCTTCGTTTTTTATATGATAAATAAGAAATGATTACTATCATTTTTATGATTATTTTTATAATAGGTATTGTGTATTATCTTCGATGTCTTCATGCCAATAACTCCAACGAAGAAATCGCAGAACCAATTCTAATTTATCCCAACTATACACAACAAAAAAATATGAAAAAATTTACAACAGAAAGTATTCAACATGGTCCGTATGTTTACTTGGGAGGTGATTATGCCTGTGAAAGACAGCTTATCGAACGATACACCTCTGATCTTGTTTCAACTCCACATTCTTGGCAAAAGCAAATAGACAGTTTAAATCTTCTTGCTTTTAACACTAATCAATACCAAGTAGTACAAATGAATATGCGTCGATTTGCTCAAATGTTATATATTTTTAAAATTATCGAAATGGATTTCTGCTTAGGTGGTAGTATCGTTATTATTCCAAAAGAAATCGATCAATTCAATTTATGGGCTTGGTCTCAATATCCTCGTCTTTTATCAAGATTTATTAATTTATGGTCAAATCATAAAACCCTTATTGGTCCTTGTAAAACACCAAATGATAATTGTTCATCTTGCTTTACAATCGATGGTCACCAAAAAGCACGTCGTCGAGTTTGCCGTACGAAACATGTTGATTATCTAAGTAGTGATTTTACTAAATCTTTAGTTATTGGATGTTGGAGGACACCTATTCGTCATTCATTACACTGTGAAATACATCAAAACTCTCGATCTTCAACTGAAGTAGCTACAGTTACTTCAACAAATAAACGACATAATCTTCGCAAGCGTAAATTAAAAAGACAAAGAGATTGGCATCCAAAGAAAAATATATTTTTTGGAGCCACAAACTGTAACACTAATGAATCTAAATCAGAATCGTATGTTAACAAATGTTCTAGATCATTTGGTCTTTTGGCTATGGTCAGTAACTGCAAGATCATCATTAGCTATGATGAAATTTTCAGAAGTGAAACTTTACGTGAAATTGTTCAGTTACTTTTAAATACTATACGAAGTTAGTTATAATAATATTTCAATTTATTTCAAAATAGTTTATGTTCGTTTTTTCTCTAGTTGCTGGTGATGCTTTTCCAAAAATAGCATGCTATGATGACGGCTGTCATCTTGTTCGATATGTACATAAAAACGTTGGCAAGCTTATTGCTGATACACCAGCTTCGAATGTTCTCAAGTGCACTAAATTCTATATTGACAAACCTCATTTTAAAAATCACGTTGGAGACTGGTGCAAGAAAAACATGTCTCCGTATTCCAATCATGGTAAATTGTATTTCAACATATAAATAAATCATAATCATTAGCATTCAACTTTTTAGATTTAGATTTGATTAACACTCAATGTGCTGAACAGTGTTTTGCTTGGCTTAAGCGGTATGCAGCGATCATCAGTAGTCTTGGCTGGATGCGAGCACCACTGTATCTACTGATACTATTTCATTACAAAAATTTATCAACTTGTCACGTACGCCCAACTAAGCATTTTAATATTGTAAGTGTGCACAATAAAACATATCTTATTGTTTAACATGATTGTTTTAAGGATCATCTCGTTCCCAATGTGCCAAATATTAGTCTTTCACATGCAGCGAGTCTTCAGCAAGACGATCATTTGCCTTTGTCTGATCTCAACAATAATTTAAATACAAACATATCAGATGTAACAAAAAATATTATTCAATTGAATGGATTTGCTGAAAATAATAAATGGATAAAAATGTCCGCACGTATTCCACATAACGTTCAATCAGCATCCGCAAATACAATCTCAAACTTACCCACTGATGTTGATAATAAATGGACGAAAATTACTGATAGGATTATTTCATCATCAATATTGAAATCAAAAAGATCAAACAAAAGAAAACAATCACCAAACATTCACAACAAGTGGATCGATCAAGTTGAAAAAATACTGAAACAGTAGTAAAACGAATCGTGAAACAGCACAAATGACTACATCGATCAATATTTCAAAGATAAATACAACTAAAATATATAAACTTTGAGTGTTATTTACATCTTTTTTATATTAATTTTGTGTTTGTACAACTTCTCATGTTTTTTTATTGTGCTTCAGGAGCGTATTTAAATCTTTATTTTGTTATATTTTTTACACATGCTTCAATACACTCTGATTATTCTACTAAATAATTTTTATTATTATATAAATGTGAACACTCTAAGTAAATATTGTCCTTAATTGGCATATCAGCAAAAGCAAGATTTTATGAAATATATCCACTTACAAAGATGTGCCCTATTTCATTTTAGAAAAATGAACTATTATCTGAACAGATATATTAATTCAACTAATCTGTTTCATGTAAAAATACGATCCTTCCGAATTCTAGGAGTTATTAAAATATCCTGATAAATCACAGAATAGAAATCTCGATAAATTCGAAAATACAAATAAGTCACAATAAATCCCAATAAATCCCAATAAATCCCAAAATAGGAAAAATCCCAATAAATCCCAAAATAGAAATAAATCTTGGATTTATTAATAAATCCCAATAAATCCCAAAGAAATAATTCCTGGAAGCTGCTGGCCACAACCGGATGCTCCAATTAAAGCAATCGTTTTACCAGATGGTATTTTTATTGAGAAATTTTGTAAAATCTTAAATATAAAAAAAGATTTTAATCATTATAATGAGAAGAGATAGTTATACATAAGATTCTTGTCGTGTAGGATAACTAAATTTCACATCTTTAAATTCAATATCACCCTTGATTGTTTCTGGTTTCTTTCCTTCGTCATCTGAAACATCGATTTTTGTCTTCTAATAAATAGATTAATACAGTGTTTGTTATACAAGTACATGATTTGTAATTTACTCGTTCGATCATATCAAATACAAAACTTCCACTAGCCGATGCTTCTGCAAACGTGTGCAAGCATGGGATAAAGTTTGTTGCCAAAGTTATTACACTCTATTTAATAGAGTATTTATTTTATTCAAAGAAAGAAAATCAACGTACTAGACATGAGTTCAATACCTAAATTATTTGAAAAAAAATCTAAAAAAGCTATTTTGATATTAATAAACTTACTATGAGTAATGTCCCAGGTGTGTAATTCTGGCTTTCAGTTCGTGTTAATTTCAAACCATACCAAAATGCTAATGTAATAGCTGAAAAACTGAGAAGTTGCCCAAGACCTTGGCTTATACCCATGCATAAACTTTTTCCAATTCCAACTTTTTTTGCTGACAAAAGATTTTGACTATATCTATGTATGGAAAACAATTGATAGTTATAGATCAAATAATGCTACAAACCGTTCTTCCTCTTTCTGTTGACCGTGAAATGATGTTACTGTTCGAATATTTTCTAATGCTTCTTCAGCAATTGATGCTGCTGTACTATACGCCTCTATTTCTATGGCAGTATATTTAACAGTTATCTATAATTGAAACAAATCCGTCAGTATAAATAGAATAACATCAGTTTCTTATTGTTATATTACTTACTAAAATAGTTATTCTATATACAAGAATAATTAAAGGTGATACTGATAAAAAGACAAGTGACAATTTCCATCCGGTTATCATAGCAAATATAAGTAGACAAATTATTCTTGAAACTAGTGACAAAAAAGCCGGTACTTTTTCACTAGAGAAAATAAACTAAATAAATAAAAATCTGCTATATTCTTCATACTTCAGACCGTTTTTAACCTTATCTAATAAAATAAAAATACGTTTATCAACGAGAAAATTAACAAAATTTGTTAGTTATTTACCTAAATTATCATTAAGACGGTTGTCCAATTCACCGATACCATGAATATCAAACCAACCGATTTCTTGACAAAGAATATTTCGAAAAAGTTTATAACTAAACATATGAATATTTACAAATATAAAACAAATTATAAATTATCTTTTTTCTACCGAATACGTCGTATTTGTCTTTCAGCTGCGATCATCCAACTTGCCCACGCCAACCAATAAAGAAATATACTTATACCACCAACGATAATATAATTTTTACTCATCGATTGTATAACATTATATGGTGACGTCATATTATATTTACTGGATGAATTGGTAGCTTGACTAGAAAAAGCAAATTAAACAATATTTTGTAGAGAAATTACAATCTCATTACCTTTCATTTGAATTGATTGTATTTGTCATTTTCATGCTATCATTGCCAACAAGAATAAGGTTATCAAGTAGATGGCGATTAAACCAATACATTGCCCCATAAGTAACTAAGAAAAAATAATTTATCAGTATTGTATCTGTTTTTTTCTCTTTCATAATCACTTACCACCAACTCCCGATGCTTAAAATAAAATAAAATAAAAAAGAATTATTACAATTTTTAATAAAAATTATAACTAACCAGCAATTATTCCAATAAACATTAGAAAAATATCAATGTTGTCAGCAAACTTGTAAATTTCGTATAATTTTAATCGACGTGACGTATTCTTCGTTGGGTTTGTCAACTTTTTTAATATACTATTAAATAATCAAATCTTGTCACTTTTATTTTCTTAATAAATAACAAAATGATACTAACGGAATTCTTGAAAAAACTGTAAATCGACGTTTTTTACCAGATACTACTGGTATGTCATCACTCTCAACTGAAATATGACTCGATGTATCTTTATTATTCTGATTATTTGATTCTGTTTTATTGACATCATTTTCTGAATTACTATCATCATGACGAGGTGTCATTCTGTATTTATTTAATGTAAAAATATGTTTTGCAATAGATCTAAAAGATATATAGAAACATTTTTTTATCATTGAACTTCAAAAAATAATGAAAAGCTTCGAAACTCATATTTTACTCATAGATTAGACTTTGAATAACTAATAAAACCTTGAATCAAGTTGAATCACAGACTTCTAAGTAGATGTCGAATCTTTTTTCCCAACATTATCAAACGACTGACTTGTTTGCATTACTTACAACAAATACTTACTCACAAATATATCTAAATATGATTATAGAAAACGACAAATACAAAAATAAATTTCATTTGAGTGCAAAGCAGATATATTCTATTTATAAGGAAAGTAATTATTCGTTATATACGTATCTTAAGAGTGGGAGGGTGAGAAGGATAGAAGGTTTTTAACCTAAAAATGAAAAAGATAAATGCATATTGTCTTATTGTTTCATTAATTTTAAATGCAATTATCCTGACGTATTATAAAGCAAATTGATATATCATTTTGCGCATTACTCACATGCCTTAATTACGATACGCTTTTATTTTACCTTGAAATACGAAAAAGACAAATGTCTATTGTCATATTACTTTACTATTTTTAGATACAATAATCGTGACTTATAATACAGTAAATGGGTATAATTTTCGGCACATTCCCCATTTTAACAAGCACGTGGCTTGATCATGATACGCTAAGACTAAAATAATTTCAAATAAATTGAAATTGTAAACTTACATATCTTGCTCATCTTTTGTATATTAGAATAGAAAATATGTAATATGAAGAGTTTCTTATAATTACAATTTCTTTTCGGTATTATTTCAATAGAAGAAAATCATTTGAACGTATTTATTTTTGTGTTGTTCTTTTCATTAATTCAATTCTTATATTACAAAAAATGATAGTCAAACCCAGGTCAACCAATCCAACGTTGGATGCGATCGGATCTTATAGGATCCGATCATCCGACAGAATCTAATAGGATTCCTGGTGACGGATTTGCATTAGATTCCGTACGGAAAATTTTCAGTCACTTGCTGCAAATTTGATGAGCGGCGTTTTTAGCTATTTTCTATAATGGCCTTATGGTCACCTATCGGATCCGTCTAGATCCGTTTGTTGGAAATTGTGAGATCCGATGCTGGATCCGATGGGATCCGACCACAACGGAGTCCGAAGTGATTCCGTCACCAGGAATCCTATAGGATTTTGTCGGATCGTCGGATTCCGATAGAATCCGGCATAGGATCCGATCGGATCCGAATACGAGATTGGTGGACCTGGGAAGTTAATAGACTGATTGTTTTTTGATTTATTACACTTAAAATTTTCGCTAAGGAGTTCGTTATATTTATAACTTTTGTTTACTTTTAATCCAAGAAACTGTAGATCTTTTTCACAAAAGTGATACTTTTGAAATAGTAGTAGTCACTATGTATTTTTGTATTTAAATTTTTTCATCTTGTTCTAACTAAAATAATATTGATAACTCATACATAACATACGGTAGATGTTGATTTACCGATTATTTATTATGTATATCAGATGAACAATGAAAACTATATGACTTTATTTTCATCAATAATAATCAATCATCACATATGATATATTTAATACAAATAAGAAAATCAACATCTGCTATAAAAAAATAAATTTAATACATCACTTAATTAATTTCGAAATAAATGTTTTATTTTATTCAATAATTATGAGACTTTTTCTATGAACATTTACATAGGATGAGTATAGCACAAATTGTATTTGATTTATTTAAATGAACAACATGTATCATCTCTTTTGTATAATTATATTCATTTTAACATGATTAAAAATTGAGTATATCGGCTTGTCCAAACGTAACGCTGTTACGTTTTTGACACATTCTTCTTCAATTATCTCGGAAAGTGTAATAGCTAGAACGTTCGTTCAAACGCCATTCGATGCAGCTTATCGAACTCTACTTATTCTATAAAACAGATATTTTTCTGCTGAAGCCTCGGATATCTGTAAGGGTTACATTGTCGCGTAACACTGTTACATAAAAAGACCCTTATTCTTCAGTACCACCAAGAAAACTCTAATTTCTTGCGATATATTTTGTTCAAAAGAAATGCTCTTAGAACTACGTTTGTAGAGCTTTAAACGAGCTTTCTAAAACCAAAAAAAGTTTTCTTTTAGCTATTCTTATTTGTGTGAAAAATGCAAAAAACAAACGTAACGCTGTTACACACTTTTTTGTGAGCCATTTTTGAGGTAGTTAATATCGTCCGAATGATTTGAATTTTTTAACGGTTACTCATTACTGTGCAGATAAACGTCTACCAAAGAATCAGATTAATTCATGCACGAGGGAGCTCAAAAACTGGACAGGAAGTTGGGGAGGGTATTCGAGGTTAAAAATTGTTATCAGCTATTAAAATCAAAACTAAATAGGCCATTTTGTAGAGAATCCAATTCTGCATTGAATGATACGCCTCTCGCAAATTTTTGGAAAACTTTCTTGGGTAGAAAACTCGAAATACGATTTTTCAAAAGTTTAAAACCCAGTTTTTGATAATAAAATCTAATTTTTTTATAAAATAAATCTCAGATTCGTAATCAGCGTTAAAAACTGCGTCTAACAGCTTGTTCAAATCTGTTCAATTCGAAAAAAAAAATTTTAAAAACTTGATCGGCGAAGTGTCGCGTTAC